CCATCACATTTGAACCCACGTACATTTGAACCCATGACAATTGCACCTATATGCTATTGCACCGATGAAATTTTTTTTTGTTTCACGGATAGTTAAACCCATACTAACCCTAACCCATGGGTTTTAGCACCTGCATATAGATTGAACCCGTGGATATACGCATGGGTTCAAATGTACGGTCACCTATTTTAGACTCTATACAAGGGGTTCCCAAACCAGGGGTTGCGACCCCAAATTGGGTCGGAGTGATAAAGAGGTAGGGTCGCAAACAGGTCATGGGGTCGCTGAGTTATGGTCAAGGATGGATGCACAAAACATCTAAGATTTGACAAACCATGTTAAATTTAGCAGTTTGTACCATGGCTTACTTTAAAACAGGCCGAAATGTAGGTGATTATTGTGACATCACTGTTTGGTTTTAGCTTAATTTACTAAATACTTTACTTACTTTAAAGAAAAGAAGCTTCATTAAGAATATATATATTGACCTGGGGTCGCACTGGACACTTGAAAGTTGTCTTGGGGGTCGTCCTGAAAAAAGCCTGGGAACCCCTGCTCTATACTCTAGGACAGGGTTTCCCAAACTTGTAGAGCCGTGGACCCGTGTTTGTGAATCTGCTTTTTAGACAGACCCTCATCCCGCGTCGTATCAATTTCTGCGGCTAACCAACGAGGAGGGATAATGCTTCCTTTGACGAAATAAAACTCTTTAAAGTCTGAATCAATGCATATCAACAGTAAGTACTTGCTAATGGCAGTTCGATAAAATTAGATGATATATTTGTTTATGTTTTAGACACTTTTCATAACGGACCAGCTCGCGACCCAGTTTGGGAAACCCTGCTCTAGGATATGCATCTAGAGTCTTATTTTCACCCAGGAGTAGTTTTGAATTTTTCAAATGTATTTTCAGACTTTTGATGATACAAATAAAAAGTCAAAACTTCAAACATATGGTTAAAAAACATTTGGACCAGTGGTTCTCAAAACAGTGGGACGAGCCACCAAAAGTGGGGCGTGAAGCTTATACAAAATAAAAAAATTGGTAAGATTTAATTTTGCCTGCCTTGTTTTGTATATATACATAATTTGGACCTCCTGAAGTATGCGCACCAAGATGGCGCACAACCTGAACTCAGGTTGTGTACGAGGTTAGGGTTCAGGTTATGCGACATCTTGGTGCGCATACTTCGGGAGTACCCATGTTTTTATACTTCTGCCTTACTATCTGTTATTTTTAAGGTGGGGCGCGAGATAAGACAAATTCTACAAAGAGGGCGCAGCTTGAAAAGTTTGAGAACCCCTGCTTAAAGACTGACTAAGCATTATAAATAAAGATTTAAACGAGAATATCGGTTGGAAACCGAAGACTTATCGATCTAGAGTTAGGGGATCCCTCCAAACAGAAACTGCAGTTTCGATTCATCCGCTCTTGTAATTTGCGCATCGCACACACACACTCGGCGGATCTCAAAATTCTCTCGCTTTACAAAAATGTAGATCACTAATTAATTAATAACTCGCTAATTATACGTCATAATTCATCCAAAATCAATAGGCTTTTGGTCCGACATATGATGAATGCACATGCAAAATCTGGAGCAGATTCAATCTCGCTTTCGTGAGATATCGCGTGCATCTAACAGACAGACAGACAGACATAACAGACAAATACCTATCAACATACTTACCGATTAAAATCGATAAGTAACAAAGCTTGTATGAGCCAAAGATTTTGTGATTATGATTCGATTTTCTTTGAGTTGGAAGCCAGATTTTAATATTTCTTGACAGATTGCTCTCTGAATGCCTTAGACCAGGGTGCAACTTTCAATACAGGAAAGCCAGATACAAATAACTGGGTGATACCGTTGGCTACACGGCGCGGCGGTGTGGCTCAACGGGCTAAGCGTTAGGAATACGCTCGCCACCGCATCTCTAACAACTCTGCGTGGGTTCGCAGGTTCGAATCCCATGCAGGGATGGTTATGTGCGAGAGGATTGGACTCCTCGCCGTCGTTGGGTGGTAAGCGGTTACGGCTTCCTCCACCACCAAATCCATGCTTCCGAAAAACAAACAATACAGTAAAACTAATCCCATACCCGACTTGGAATGGTAACCGGACGAGAGGCCGTGGTTCGCCATATGGATAAGCCGCCTTATCGGCTTTCCTCTCCCCCGGGATAAATATGTAAATCCTGTCCTATCCTAAACCGTGGGCCGTACGTTTATTTAGTAATATGGGCATTCTAGTAGTTGCAGGCACAGAAATTTTGGGTATTGATCTTATGATATGCGTTCGCTTCGCACAAAGGCATTGTAACCTCATAGGCATAGATTCCAAATTGGACTTAGGTATATGTTATGCAACTCGAAAGAATTACTCACACACACCCACCCTCATTCGGTGGGAATCTTAGCATTCAAAATTAGCACTTCTCCCAAGGATCACCTGCACACCCATAGAATATAATCGCCATCAACTAACAGTCAGCGAAACCTGTGTCTTAGACTGCAATTTTTTCCCAGATTGCACAACCATTCCGTAACTAAATAGATTTTAACAATATGCATTCTTAATCGCTACTTTTCTATCACCCCAGTCTCATTAACACAGAATATATTTCACACATTTTCCAAAATTTTATTAGTTTTCATGTTGTGAAAGTAATGGCAGGTCCAAGCAATGGCAGAGGTAGAGACGTTACGCCATCTATCCAATCTTCCTTCTCAATATCGAAACATTCCACAGTGTCCAGGTTATTGATGGACCCGTCATCGCAGTGTTTCCCTCCTATGATGTAGAGCCGTGGACCTGGAAGGTAAAAAAAAAAGAATTATAAGAAGCGAGCATTTTCAATACACCTTTCACTCTGAAGAAGGAACCGTGCAAAGAGTCTCACGCTTTGTAAGAATGTACTTTATTCTGGAAGAAATGAAATCCTCTAGATACCGAATTTTGTTACCCATCGATTTATTATACCCTGAAAAAAGGTTTCAAAATACGCAGCATTTTTTCTGCCTCTCACTACAACAGTCTGAAAGTCAACTTTCAATAACTCAAATTGGGAACAAATTTCCAAACGTCAACGTAATATTGAGCTGATTATGTTGAGTAAAAGCAGTAACAGGGGTGGGCAGGGTTTTTGGACCAGGGGGTCAAAAGTTTTGCCCCACCAAGACTGGCGGGCCATGTCAGTGTCAGGTAAAAAATTACATTTTATGAACAATATTTACAGTGTTACAAAGCAAAAGTGGAAAACAATAAACATCGTGCCCAAACTAAATTTAATCGCAATCTTGAAGATTGGTTGTGGCAGCATCAGGCGGGCCGGATTGAATTACCAACCGAGCCAGATTTAGCCCGCGGTTCATACTTTGCCCATGTCAAAGCTATAAGCACCATTTGCTTTAAAGGCTAAACCTTGTACTCCCACCCTAGTTATTTGTGTCAATTTGAAAACAAACAAAAATGTTTTATTACTTTTATTTCAAGTTTCATCACCCTCTTTTTTGCGTCCAATTGTGACATCATCAGGTTCAATTATGACATCATTTTCTGATGTCACAATCTTCGTTACTTTTTCTCCTTTGTCAGCCATGATTTCTTCAATATTTTTCATTCCGTTTAAGTCACTAAACCAGCCCAAGTTGTCCGCTATAATATGGTTATTATCGCAGCCAGGACAGCGAACTATAACAACACCATGATGGTAGGCTTTCTTCGAGATATGTTTGCCCGTGCGTGTCTTACAGACAGTGCACGTGAAAGCTAATCCATATTTTCCTGATTTTACTGTCTGTCCTAAAGTGGCAGTGTTAGAATTTTTTGAGTCTTCATTAGAAATATTTGACTCAATTTCTGGGGTTTTCGTTGAAAATTTCTGCGCCCCGATATTCCGAATATCAGGTATAAGTCCACTGTTGGTAAATCCATTAGAAATTGAATCAATTTTCATTAAATTTCCATTGCAAAGTGAATTCAGCGTCAAAAAATGTCTTCTAATCATAAAATTCCGGCAGTGATTCATGCTTATTGCACATAAATTGTTCCGTACGATTGATTTTTGTAGCAGTTGACAGTCCCCAGACAATGTCCGAGCAAAAGTTTGGATTCTGGACGACATCTTTGTTGCCATGATATATATTTATGATTGATAGGCTTATGTTATTGTGCAAAAATATATAATTACAGATCATTATTATTTATAATGGAAGAGCATGTCTCAAAAAATGCGATTAAAAATAATACAGTGCATGTTAGAATTGGGTAGTTTCTATACATGTTTTAAGGTTCGTATAATTATAAATGTGAAGAGTACTCACTAACATACCAACAGTTATATCAGGTGTCCATAAAGTCTCAAAATTTCTTAAAAATGAAAAGGGAATTTATCAATATCATATATTGTTTTGGCCCTCACAGATGTATTAGATGAAGTAAAAATACTTGAACAATTACTGATTAAAATACAACAAACCTGGTTGAGATATATTGAAAACTGACTTCATAACAAAATTAAAATTGTAAAGGGACTTTATGGACACCCTGTATATCAGTTTGTTAAAAGAAAGATTCTGATCTCTCAAGTAAAACTGGTAGAGTACTGATAAAAGGAGTTACAAGTGAAGAACACATTATAAGTAAATGACCATATTACATAGTATTTAAAAGTATCTGGTACGTAGTGTATTTGTGTAATTCAAAATATACACAACAAAGTCACTACGCTGTGGAAATGCAGATATATACTTTCAAAACTATGTTTAAACTGTTTAACCATGCATTTTAAATTGGGATGGAATCTTCACTTTAGGATTAAGCCGCATTATTGGATTTCCTTTTCCACCGAGATAAAATATGTGAATCTTATTCTTCATATTTGCCACGAGCAAGGTCAATAAGATGGCCCGACAACCTTTTATCTAGATACCAGTCAATGTAGGATTTGGGAATAGTGAACCATTCAGATACATCTAGAGAGAAAATTGTTTTGATGATTTTTTAAATAAAACGAAATAATTCAAAATTATCAAGTTTTTATCTAACCATAGAAAATTTGATTTTGATACACTGGGAGGAAAACAACACTGTAAGATTGACAGAATTAAAACACTGTAATTCAAGTGACGCTATTCTGCAATTATCAAAGATTCAATAATATAGTATCTTACTACACGATTTTCATAAAATTAACACTTAAAATAATGAATTGACTCATTACTGAAAATAAATGAGGTGTGGCCAGTCGGATGAATCTTATATCTAAACAATCAGTGCCAATGCTCTATTATGCTCCGTTGCAGTATATTGAAAAAATCGACCTAAAGTAGGCTAGAAAAAAAATATAACACACTATGGTCATAATAATTGTAGATATTGAAAAAACAGCCCATGTTCAATAAGCGCCGTAAGTACTTCTAGTTGGCGTGACATCACCATTTTTGCATATGTTATTTCTAACCCCCACCTGACTACATCATCCAAAGATTACGTCACAATCACGTCATAGAGCTTGCCAAAAAAAAGCTAAGATCGGCCCGAAATAGCATTCCCTGTCGACGATATCGATATTGCTGACGCCAGCAATTTTTCTAATATCGGGATCGTTATGACAAGAGAAATAGCTTGCTTGATTTCGGGTGATCGTCTGCGCGTTTTAAACGAAATCTGTATACTTTGACGGGCCTTTTTTCGTCACTGTGACGCTGTAGTGACATAATTTTCGAATGACATAGTCAGGTGGGGGTTAGAAATGATATATGCAAAAATGGTTATGCCACGCAACTTCGAAGTACTTGACGGCGTTTTGTGAACTAGTCCTGAAAAAACAGTATATTGGTCAGTGAAGCATCAATTATTCTTAACTAGCCACGCCCCATTGGCTTGTACTAGTATAAAAATGAAAGCATTCTAAAGAAACAGTTGGGCAGCATCAAAACACTGTAATTGAAATTACAATATTCTGCCATTGATGTGTTAAAATGTAGTGTGATGGGTATGGAAACAGAAAATGTAGAACCATATTCAAGTTTCATAATGTCAATAAATTTAACAAGTGGGGGGACAAGAGGGGTAAAATTAAAAATCATTCAAATTAAAGTTTGCTAAACAGCTTGAGCAGTCTGATATGATCCAGGGTAGACGGACGGTTGCGAAGACTTGTCCACTTGTCGAACTTGGACTTCTTTAAAGTGAACACTGCCTCTAGTGTCAGTAGTATGCCTCGAACCTGGTTTTGAATCTCTTTCACTATAGCCAGAAGGAAATGGGATTGGTGGGTTGTTGTCTGAGTTATTTGAAGGACAATATCGCTCTGCCATTTCGCCCAATGTTGGCTTAATGTTGAACCTTGCTGGATCTTCGACGCGCTCTAGTGTTCGTCGTTTGAGATGGTTTTCGATAATCGTATGTGCTTTTTCTTTGTTTGTGATAATATTTGGCTCGGTCATGAATTCTGTAATCTTCAAATTATTTTTGATCGAATGAGACGCAGTTGATCTTGCATGTAACGGTAGTTTCATTTGATAATTTCCATCGGTGAAATCGACCGGCGGTTCGCTCTCAAGCGTCCTCACAACCCTATTCGTGAGTGAGGAGTAGATCGTCTGCACTAAAAGCTCTGCTGCCCCTGGTTTGCAATGTATTGTTCCATCTATCATTTCTTTTGGTATATCAAGCTTCTTTTTTGAGAAAAATCGCTCCAATTGAGACCAGTTTCCCAACTTTGTAGGCAGAGATATTCCGTTATCGTACGAATGCATTTGTATATCTTGAGGGTAATACCATGAAAATATCTCAGCGACGAGAAACCCGTTGGCAAAATCTCGCCTGGCGTTACGAACCGAATAAGACAAATCTAAACTTTGGATCCATTTTAAAACTTCTCTCGGCAAGCACTGCCTGGGCACCCCGTTTGAGCTTTTAGACATAATTCTCTGATAACTTGCACAAACTCAAAACGGCAAAACTTGCTCTCAAAACGAGGCCACACACCAAACGCTCATGAACAGTGTAACCATGGTTACAACGATGTCGTACTCCATCGCTTATCGCGATGTTGGTGATTTTAATGACTTTGTATTAAAATCATTGTCATACGAAGATATAAAACCCATTTTTGATAATTGATAGTCAAAAGTAATTTTCAAAAACACGTGAAAATGTCGCGCAAAGTGATGCAATTATCAGAAATTTTTTCCAAAGAAATCGGTTGGTGACATTTTCCGCGTGTCCGCAAGTTGGCGACCTGGAGCAACAAGTGAGTTTTGTTGTGGGCGACGATTCTGATTTCGAAAGTACTGGTTAGTTCCTCTTTCTCATGGGGTTGCTGCTTTCAGTACTCGTTATACCTGAACGGGTACGAACCCGGGACATATTCATGCTCGACTCACCGTCTGATATTCTTTTGCGTATGCTGTGTTTTTTTGCTATTTAGATATATTTTTACTTCATAGTAAGCATGAAAGCGATACCGTGGATAAAAGTATGTTGAGAACGCCAGGAAAACAAACAAAACCTATACTTTAGGTTTAAAACAAGCTCATGGAATTGTGGTATGGAACTGTTATTAGCAGAAAAGCCACCTTTGCATTAGCCAACTTTAAACAAAAAAACAAACCTAAAACCGCGTATCCAGCGTCGTGCCTTCCCACTCTCAGTGATGTAAGCCCTTCCCAGATGTTTGTGTCGTCATTATACTTGTCTACGTCATAAACACTACTGAAACTTCCACAGTCCATTTCTGAGTCGAGCCATGCTCCGCCGATGACGAACATTTGGTTGTGTGAGTCGAGTAGATTCGCGAAACATCTTGGGAATCGAAGCGGTGTAGCAGGTTGCCAACTGAAATGAAGGTAAATTATTAAGTAAATATGATTGAATAAAATAGCTTAGCATGCTGAGTAGCAATTCACTTTCTTTGATTTTGTTAATCGCAGACTAGAAGTAGATATTAGTAAATATTGCAGATTTAAGGGCAATGCATTTTTCATTATCACGTGAATTAATTCTTAGTAGTTCTCTTATTTTGCGACATTGTAAAGCCTTAGAGGTGCATGCAGCCCATATATCGGCGTTTTCCAACTTTGAGTTGAGGGCTAGGACTTTGCTATGAGCAAATTGTATAAAGATCTCGATTCAAACATTCTAATCATAGAACATAATCTACAAGCTAGCCAGTTCTGACCTTCCAAATTCTTCATCAAATGTTTCCATGGTGTCCAATACTGCACCACTTTTATGACAATACCCTCCAGCGACCCACATTTTTTTCTTATGTACAGAAACAGCAATGCCGGCTCGTACGCTGGACAAGGTCCCGGCGAACTCCCAGACTCCAGAATCGATAGAATAACGCTCAATATCTCGTAATATCCGTTGTTTGTGATCTTGTCCGCCGATAGCGTAGATGTAACCGTCTTTGTGAATAGCCTGTAATATCAAAGTGTGTATATTACTAAGTCAAGTTCATTTAACATCACGTGCTATAGTACAGGGCTACTTAACTAATTTCACCACACATTCGTATACGAAACATAAAAAATCTGGGATCCTGTCATTCCAGAAATGGTACTCCCGTAGTGTGTGTGTACCAGGTTAGGCCAGGACTGTCTGTGAATATACCCCCTGCCCATAGGTTTCAGTCCCTTTACACAACTTGACGTAAAGTAGGCAAAAAAAATTAGTTATTTCCATATTGGTAAACTTACTTCTGGAGCGCCCCAGAAAATATGTTCTATTGTGCAAACGAAACTTCAAAAGCATCGTTCAACAAAAATAAATACTCGCTTCTTAGTACCGATACCAACTAGAAAATAAAAACAATGCTAATGCTTTCAATACAAGAAGCAAATGCGGTCCGAATTGAATAATCGAAGGTCGGGATTTGACCGCCAGTTAAGTAGCCTTACAGTAGGGCTTTATATTTATTACGGTCTATTTTAGTGGATCACCGGTATGTTTTGAAAGTAAAATTTATTTTCTTTATTATTTCACTTCTACGTTGCATATCTATTATCTAAAATGATTCACGCGGCGAAAAAGGCTTTGTCAGAATGAATTTTAATACAGAATTGTAGATATATAAAAATGATTGCGATGAGTACATTATAACTTCAGATATTGCCTCAACATTGTTCGTTTTTTATTCACAACCACTGAAACCATGGTTTCTGTAGTGAGAGCATAATAACATTCATTACGCATCAGTGGGCGCTGGCATAGAAAATCAAATTTACTTCTGAAGCAGGTTGAACCAACACGAGGAGGTTAAAACAAAGGGGTTAGGTATTTTGACTTTGTGTGACCTTTATTAGTCATGCAGAATGGCCCTCACAATAACAAGAATAATGCCCTATGACGTCACGTTACCATAGTTACTGCATTTACCTGGAGTGACATCCTTGGCGTTGACATAGAATCAATCTTGCTCCATTTCAACGATTCAAGGCCGAGTCTGTAACAACTGGCAACAGGACATACTTCAGCTCCTGGGCCGGTCAGAGATGGGTCTGATCCGCCTGACAAATAAAAAGAGTGATTAGTGGCGAAGAAAAGTCGAAATACATGTGAGTTGATTCAAGATATTCTAAATCAGTGGTTGTCTAAACTTTTGAAGCAGCGCCCTCTTTCTAGAATTTATCAAGTCTCGCGCTCCTCTTAAAAAATAACTAGCTGATAATAAGCTACAAACTAGAATTCGGTTGGAAACCGAAGACTTATCGATCGGAGGTTAGGGGATCCCCCAAAACAGTGGTCTCACTCCATAGTGACACCGTGTGTTTCATCACTAATTAATTAATAACTCGCTAATTATACGACATAATCCTTCCAAAATCGATAGGCTCCTGTTCCGAACTATGATGAATGCACATGTAAAATTTGGAGCAGATTCAACCTCGCTTTCGTTAGATATCGCGTGTATCTAACATACAAACAAACAAACAGACAAATACTTATCAACATGCTTACTGATCTTAAGATCGATAAGTAATAACAGATAGAAAGTCGAAAGTATGTTTTATCCTAGAAATACGTTGGAATTACGTGAATGAAACGTAAAAATCCAGACTTAAAGAAATGTAAATATCCAAAATAAGGCGGGGAAGATCAAATCTGACAAATATTTTTAATTAGCTTCACATCGTCTACTCCCCACCTTTTGGAAACCCCTGTTCTAAATCGAACTATTTTGCGACGACGGTATAAGCGCTGGATCTAACTTTGTTTTTCAACTTCTGATTAGAATGTGACGGATCTGGCCCGCTTGGCCAATCGGTTATAGACTTAAATCACGTGTGTCGCTGCTCTGTAACAAGTAATGGTGTTTCGCGGCTCCCTTTGCACTGAGCTATTATTTCACTTGTTTTTTGTATTGTTTATTCATAAAGTGTACTTTGGTATGGTGAAACAATAAATTACTGAAGGAGCAGAGGAATGTGTCTGCGTCTATCGCGAGAATAGATAGCCTAAAGCACTGGTTCTCAACCAGTGGGCCATGGGCAGATTTTGAGGTGGGCCACAGAACTATTAAAAATTGATAGTTTTATTCGTATCACTATCTTTAATTTTAATTGTAGTACCAACGATTGATGATGCTGTTTTCTGCTACTGAATGGTCATTTTTATTCTAATTGATAAATGGGAAAGCGTCCATTTTCGCAGAAAGATTTTGATTTTTGTTATAGTTTTTACCTTGCAATAAAAAGTTAATGGGCCACGAGATTTTTTGGGCAACGAAAATGGGCCACGAAAGAAAAAAGGTTGAGAACCACTGGCCTAAAGTGATGAAATAAAACGGATTTTCTTTACACTTCCGAATTACGAAAAAACCCAAATCTTTGGCGTCTTTCTTTAAATTTCTGTTGTCAATGATTCGTCAGAATAATGACTATTTAGTTTTTTTTTTCTTCGGAAATTACAGTTTTAATGAGTGTTTCGACTGTTGGACATAACTAAGTTTGTGTCACACTTTGAAGACCTCGGCTCCAAATCTCATGACAATCTTCACACACACATCCTCCTCTATACCGCTAAAATTTCAAACAATAGCGAAATTTGGTCCCCCCCACTCCTCCCTAGAATGAAAATCTGGGAAACATACTATAACCTTACTTAGTCAGTAACTGCGTGTATAAAGCCTCGTTAGAAGTGAAAGTGAACGCCTTATAAAAATACTTATATACTACAGCAGCGTTTCCGAAACTTTTTCGGCCACGGAACACCTACGCTTTTTACCTCGCCTCGCGGAACACCAAAGAATGTAAGAGTCAAAGTTATAAAGAAAAACGGTGCAATGTAGCGGTTCCCAATGGGTTCTCGCGGCAGGTTGCCAAATGCGCCGCGAAAACTAATAACATTGTGTTAAACATACCTGAATATGATTGAATATTTACATATTGCATTTATTATATACAAATGTTTTATTGTTTCTTAATTCATATGTTGTGTATATGAATCAATCCATTCATTTTACCATTCCATGTCGTTTACTTTCCATTACGTAGTGTTTGCCTCTAATGTTACATCTAATGAAGACAGAAGTATTTGCCCCACTTTCGTGAGCTGCTGACCTGTAGTTCATATAGGCTATCTACTGAATAGAATTTTGCGGAAATGAGTGATTTTTTTCAGAATTTCAAAGTAAAACCAGGCAGAGATGGAGGAAGAAGAGTTGACCTTTTGTCTTTGTTTTGCCTTTGTTGTACACCTACTTGTTTGCCTATAGCAAAACCAAAACCTGATGACGAACTTAAAAGTCAAAAAGCTAGGCCGACGGTTAACAAAAATGCCACTACCCCACCCTAGTTACTTATCGATCTTAAGATCGGTAAGTATGTTGATAGGTATTTGTCTGTCTGTCTGTTTGTATGTTTGTCTGTTAGATGAACGCGATATCTCACGAACGCGTGGTTGAATCTGCTCCAAATTTTGCATGTGCATGCATCTTACCTCGGACCAGAAGCCTATAGATTTTGGGTTAATTATGTCGTATAATTAGCGAGTTAATTACCGATCTAAGATCGATAAGTCTTCGGCCTCCGACCGATATTTTCGTTGCAATATTGAACGGTCAGTTAGGCGACAATTCACGTTCCTTAAATCCCCACGGCGACCATTTTGGACGTATTTTTGATTCCTTATCCACGGAACACTTCGAAGACGCTCGCGGAACACTAGTGTTCCGTGGAACACAATTTGGGAGACGCTGTACTACAG